ATTTTATTCAAATTCATTTTATTTTAATCACAATTAAATTCCCTACAAACTCTATTTTAAATTTTTAATTAATTTAATTAGTTTAAAAGATATTCATATTTTAATTTTGCTTTGAAATATTTTTACTTTCTGAACAATTTAAACGCTAAAAGTTCCTCGCAAGAAAGTTTAAATTGCAGTTGTAGTCACGGTGGATTTTTATGCTCTTGCGCAAGCAATTGGCAAGATGAAAGGACCCTTCAGGATAAGAGTATCCTTAATCTTGCTACACGGAAAATAAAAGCGAAATAAAGCAATAAATCCACCTGATGATGATATACTTTATGAGCGCACTCAATGAGTTAACCTTTCATCTGTGCGTTATGTCCCGCATCCTGTATCCTGGATTCAGGATCCCGCCCGAAAACGAAGGGTCAGCTGCCGCATTTTAATGTGCGCTCGCGCCCGGCTCAAAAGATTGCACATCCTGAAACGCTCCGTCTTGAGGATAACGAAGGAATCGCTCCTTTCCATTTTGAGATTATTTTTACGTCCGGGCATTAATTGCTTGCCGCACGAGAAAAGGTAAATAAGAAAGATAAAAACGTCATAAAATATAAATTAAGGCTGGGCGCGTCGGGCATATCAAGGACGAAGGATCATGATATCGTAAATAATTAACTGTATGAAAATCACAGCAGTAATTAACGCAATTCTTTTTTACGGTGAAATTATCATTAAAATTATTGTTATTTTTAAAAGTAATAATTCTATGTTATGGACAATTTATCTGGCTATTGTTTATAGTCAAGTGGATAATTTTATCTTTAAAATTGTAAAAGTTATCAAGTAACAACGAAATAATTTCATAAATTTTACTTAAATTTTCTTTTTATTTGTTTTGTATTTATAACTTTTACAATTTTCAACCGATTTTTAAAATTTTTATATCAAATTAAAGCTGATTAAATTCTCTATAAACGTGAGCAATAACATTAAACTAATTAATTTATTTAATGAGAAATATTTTTAATTAAAGATAAAAGTAACATTTCTTTTCATCTTTGTGGTTCTTATTTATTTTCTGTGCGCTCTGGTAGCATTTCAATATGAACAATGTGCAGACTTTCGGAAGTCGAGCATTTTGTAGCCCCCAAAACCCAAAACCTAGAGAAAGGACTCACAGGACGAATCTCGAACGCATTGTCTTATTGAAACAAAGGCGGCGCTTGCGCTCGCACGAGACTAATATCCAAATGTTGCCGAAATGTTAGGATTTCTAAGGATCTTTTGACTCCGCACTGCTTTTACTCATCAATTTTAATGTCCGTATCCAGGATAACAATGATTACAGGCATCATAAAACGCAAAAACCACCAAAAACAAGACGCAAAAAGTCAAAAACAACAAAAACATTGCCATCTTATTTTATACCCAAGAAAAATCAATATGGCGTCTTAACTATATTAATTTCTGATAGATATAATTAATTGTTAATTATTGGTGAAAATTTCATGTTGATATCTTGATTAGAAGCCGAGTAAATCAATAAAAACTTTTGATCCACATGGGCGTATCACAAATTTATTGCATAGGCAACATAACCTAATTGAATGCAATTTTATTGCGAGTTTGCGGTGCGTGTTGTTGCTAAATTGATTTCGCTGCGGTCGGGCGGGTAGTGCACACCATTAATTTGTCAATAGGCAGGTGGTCGTCGATTTGAATAATTGTTGCCCAAGGGACGCGCGCCACTGACGAGCGAGGGGCACGCGTCGCCGCACAAAGTTAACGAACGCGTCGCGGTGCACAAACCGACAGCGCTAATCGTGTTTATATTATCAATTGGGCGCTCTGCCAGTGCACACCGACGCCAACATGGCGGCATCGTCAATTGATCCTAATCAGATTTCAGTTGAACCGGGTTTGGGTTTTTATTGCGTTTTAAACTACTAGTATATAACATCAAATGAAGCTTTGGTTTTGATTTTATTTGTGTTTTTTTGTTTAAATTAAAAATTGTCAATGAAATTATTGTTGTATTTCAAAAATAATTACTTTATGTTATGGAGGGTTTAATTGACTATTGTTTAAAGCAAAGTTGATAGATTTATCTTTAAAATTGTAAAAGTTATTGAGAAACAAACAAATATTTTCAAAAAAAATTAAATAAATATGTTTTATCTTTGATTTTTGTCTGTAACTTTGGCAATTTTTATCCGATTTTCTTTATCTTTATGTCAAATTAAAGCTAATTAAATTCTCTACAAATCTCAAACTGAATAGTATTATATTTAACTGATTCTCTAAGTAATATTTACAGTTAAACCTAAAATTAACATTTTTTTCTTGAATTTATATAAAAATTTGATTTTTTTTTAAATTTTAAAATGTTCAGTTCCTAACGAGTATTTTCTAGTACTTTTACAGTGAAAATAAGTTAGTTTTCTATTCTTTTTTCTTTGCTCATAAATTACCTGCCTGTTAAACGCCCGAAGGGCTTAAAACTTGGCGTAAAGACAAACTTTCCGCGCACAAAGTTTGCGCGCACATCAGAACTTGCGTAATAGATTTACGCTGCGATCCTCTTAAAATAGTTAATTATTATTAACTTACCGACTTTAAATTAGCGCGTGTTAGCTTGTAAGCCCCATCAATGTCTTCAGCGTTTGAAGGATTCGAAAATTACGAGCTTAAACGTCAATTATTGTCAGATTTTGCAATTATTACTTTAATTGTTGATAATTACCGTAATTATTATTGGATTTTCCTCGTTAAAACTTTATTCGATTTAATATTAATTACTCTATCAAAATATATATTAACAATTTTAAATTTTAATGTTTTTATATGGTTATTATTTAAATTAAAAGAAAGTTTTTATTTATTTTCAAAAATTGTAAAGTTTTACTTTTTTAATGATTAATATAGTTTAAACTAATTTTATTTTACACATTGTTAGGTTGATTGAAAGCCAATTAAATTATTTATAACCTCGCACAAGAACCGTAATAATCGAGTAATTAATGCCAAAGTTATGAGCTTCGTAATGAACAACTAAAACATTCATTAACTGCAATGAGCTACTCAACGACAATACCAACCCTACCACCAGTGGCGTGCACCTCCACTATACAAATTTGCATGATATTCAATTGAATCCGATAATACACGAGATGTTATTGTAATTTTCGTTTGATGACGCTATATCATCCGCTGCCACGTCGTCTACAATGTGTGCGAATAATTGTTCACTTATTAGCACTCCAACACACAATATACAGTGTGTTTTGTGCGTGTGTTTGCGCGGATGTTTCATATCCAAGGGTTGTAGACGTGCGCCGTGGACAAAGCAGTAAATTTCCGAATTAAGTGGTATTATGCGTGCTGCCGGCAGGCGGACAAACAACATGGCCGCCGCCTCAGTTTCCAAAATCACACCCCATCCCCCTTTTATGCCACACACGTCGTCGTAAATAGGGTTCTGGCGGATAACATATTGCCGCATCGATACGTCCTTCGCATCATACGCCCGGATAGCCGTACGCGTGTATTTATGGTTGCATAACATGTCAAAGTAACTGACGTCACCGTATACAATGTGTATAAAATATACAGAGGGTTTTTTAATGGTTTTTTGAAGTTAAGTGCTTCTTAATGATCATTTATGTTTGGATTTTCTGCGCCATAAACTCTCGACTTGACTTGACGCGTGCAAATGGGAAAACCGGAAATCGTCGGCGCAGAGTCGGAAAATGTTGAGGGTAAATTGCGGAAAAAATAACAATTAACAGCGCTTAATCGTTCGTCACGGCGCGGGCGTTAACGACCCGCCGGAAACTGGCATAATTACTCGATGTTGACCGAGTGCCACCCCCACTGGCATCCCTTATTTAGGAAGAAGGCAGCAAAATTAAGCGCGCGTTTAATCTTCCAGCAAGAGCAGGCCATCGAGGCTGAATTTTAATTTCAAGTCTCAGACGGAAAAAAATTACGTTAATTTTTCTTGTAACACTTGGTATATTAATTATTTTACATAAAACTTTTTAAGTTTAAGTATTTTTATTTTTATGTTTTTTTTGGTGGATTTTTTGAGGTTTAAAGTGAAGGTTAATATTTTTATACAGTGTGTTCATGGCGGAATAGCGAATTAAATTCGTAATGTTTTTAATTTGAAAAGTTGCAAATTGTTTTAATGTTTGACTAAGTTTGCGAACATTCAGGCGCAAATTGAGCAATGATGAAATTCGGCATTGTGGATTTGCGTGCCGTGCCGTTTGTTATCCGACGTTTTGGGGAGCGGCGGCGGCGGCGATATTAAATTATGCCAACTTCGAAACACTTGTTGCCACTGGGGCGAAAGCAAAACGATGCAATAACACCGGAGAAAATCGCGTTAATAAAGAGACTGATTTCTGCATTTTAATAATAAAAATACATACAAAGTGTTCAAATAATAAAATATTTTTTCTCCACACAAAAAAATTATAATAATTATATTTTTAAGAGACAAAATAATTCGGATGCACTTTGATGAGTTTTCGAAAGTTGAACGAACTAATTACCATCAGCACTCACGAACGAAATTTAATTGTGAAACCTGCGCGCGCGCGTCTGCTTAAAATCGAAAATTAAGCAAATTATGAGCGCGCGTTAATCAGTGCAACAACGAAAACGAATTAAAATCGAAAAAAAAGTGGCAGGCAGGCAGCCACATGGTGAAATTAAAGTGCGCGAATATGCGCACGCGTCACGCCACGATGCGTTGCTAATGGTTACGGCATAACAAACAATTGCACACTCGACGTAACCCGCGAATGTGTGCGCTCTGTAATTAAATAATTGTCGACCAGCGGCAACAAAGTAAGTAACACACCGGTTACGTATTTGTTAATTAATCGCTTCGCGTCTCTAAAGTCGGATTTTGCATTTTGCAAAAACGAAATACGAAAAAAGTGATGCTCTATTTCATCGTGGAAAAAAGTGGGGTTATATGAACACTTAGTATAAAAGTCTTTTCCGTGTCGGAGAATATCACAGTCCAAACAGTCCTAGTATACAAACAAGGTGTACTCAGGAGGTTTGTAACGTGTGTCCAAAAACATCCTATTTAAACATCATGAAAGTTTTGGTAAAAGAAAAAATTTTTTTTTGAAAATTTTGGGTAAAACATTTTTTTTTAGATTTTTTTGACGTGCAGTGTAGTTTTGGTCTCCGCTGGGTGGATCCCATTCACAGGGGGACACAAAGAAGAACACCACCCGATTATCCATGATGGTGTCCCTTTGGATACCCCTGAGGTCCAACATGCAAGAGCAGAACACTTGGCAGCTGTAGCCGAAGCCAAGGCCCATGCAGGTCCTGAGGAACATTATGAATCTCACTATGACCATCATGAGGAACACGTAGAGATCCCACAGGAACACCATCATGAGGAACACCATGGTACCGGATATTCCATTCAACACATCTCAGCCCATCATGGTCATGGTCATGAAGAACACGAGGAACATACTTCAGTTGTCCATCATCCTCACACTGTTCCCCATCATACCCACCCAGCTTATGAGACATCCCATCATGAACCCATTGTTGACCATGATGGTAAACCTCTTGATACTCCCGAGGTAGAAAAAGCTAAGGCTTTGCATTTTGCTGAGGTCCACAAGGCTTTGGCTCGTCTTCATGAACATGGTCATGGTCATTCCCTCCATCGTCGGGATCTGGGTGACTATGCCCTTCATGTAGAAGATGACCATTCTCATGGGTATGAACTCCATCAGAACCATGCCCCGGTTTATGGTCACCAGGAATCTCATCATCATCATGAAGTCCCACAAATTGGTCATGATGGTAAACCCTTGGACACCGCTGAGGTTGAACATGCGAAAGCGTTACACTTCCATGCCCATCAGGAGGCCCTCGCACGAGTGGCGCACGCCAAACAACAGGAACAACATGAAATCAACTACCACTATTAAATCTTGACACACTGTATATTGTGATAGGTACGTGACACACGTTAGACTGTGCTTGGAGTTTTCCATTTTAATGGAATAGCCAAGATTTGTTATATTAATAAATATAAATAAAATTCATATTAAAATAATATCAACACCCTGTATATTTTTATTTGAACACTCTGTATGTAAAAAATTTAAAATTTATTTATTTGTGTTTGTTACACAGCAAATTTTGCGATATGTTTCACTTTAATCTGGCTACATGACCAGAAATCAACATTAACATACAGTGTGTTCAATGTAAACGTCGAAGCAGTCATAAATCAATTTCCATCAGAGAGCCGATAGACACGACACTCGACGTGATGAATTTTTGAACGGGACGTGTTGCGCTTTAGCGCTTGACGGGGTAGTTTTTAGAGGGTGGGGGTAGAGTGGGGGCGGTGTGCATTAATAGTGCACGCGATGCTATCATCCTCCTGTTGCACTTGACGCACAAAGTGCATCGTGCACATTTTATAAACCTGTCGCCTAAATACTACACCAATTTTAATATACTGAGTGTTTGAATTTATTAATTTTAAAATTTTATTTTTGAACACTTTGTATGTATTTTTATGTAGATTTCTTTTAAATCGTAAATAATGCGCTCTTTTCTTAACGCGAGTTTTTACATTTCCTATATTTATTTCAGCGCTCGTGTTTCCCGTACAATAAATAGCAATAATAGTGTGCTTGCCGCCTCCGCCGCTGCCTTAAAAGTTTCTCTCGCATCCGTGTTGCGCGAATCCTCGCGTATTGTTAACGAAACGCGTTAAAAACTGTATACAAGTGTATATTGCATTTGCTGCCGCTTGCTCTTGCCGCCTCCGAGCGACGGCGGCAGCGAAATTTATAACGCACGCGAGTTGCGCTTCAACTTTATGGCCGAAAACTTTCCCGTCCGCGGGAACGCGACTTTTATGAAGTAATGTTTTTGCCCTCGCCCCTACTGCCGCCCCCGAACGCAGAAACAAAGCCCATTATCCTACGGTGCGCAAAAAATCAGAAAAAATTTAGAATTTTGTACATTATTCAGATTGTCTGCCGGTATGATGATATAATTTTTTTTTGCGGGAAATTTTTTTAAACACTTTGTATAAAAATGGTAACTTTGGGATAATATTTGTAAAATCATTTGAAAATGAATTTTTTTTTGTTGCAATTGTAGCATTTTGTAAAAACGATATAAAGTATCAGCACCTGTGTCGTCGCTACGATGCCGGCACATTAACCACCCCCAGGAGTTTTTTTTCCGCCAACCCTCGTTCTTTAATCATGAAAAATTCGCTTTCTCGACCCGTTTTTTCGGCTTTCGACTCACGAGTACATTTATTTCCTATACATTTTAAGCCACTCACCGCCGCTCTTGACGGATTTTTTTCCTTTTGCTTCCATAGCCGCCCCCCATCTACTCGTGTGATGTAGGTACAAATATGTAGAAGGTATGCGGCATGTGGCGGCATGTAGCATACTCGAAAAATGCGCGCCGAGTGAATATGTGAAGCTGGAAACGCTTTCGGAACAAGATTTCCAATGTGCTTGCTTTTCGGGGGCGGCAAGCGGCATTCCCGAGTTGATACACATGCACTCTGTATATGTGTGTGTGTGTCGGCAGGTCAAAGATACGGTATTCGGAATGCAATACCGGTCCGGCCGGTTGGAAGCAGCTGTGCTGCCGCCACCGCCGCCTCCAGTCATCAACGAAGGCGGCAAAGGCGCAACCGGACGACGCTTTGAAAACTCGTCCGTGTCCGCACAAAAACGCACACGTCGCCTTGAATATATTTCACGTTCTATTTTATGCCAGCAGCCGCCGCCGCCGCCCGAAAATATGTCGTGGGGGGTGGCAAGAACGTCACCCGCTTGAGATATGACTGACTGAACATATGAAATCTGCAACTTATATTCATATAATTTTCTGTGTGTGTTTTTTGTCTAGTTTATGATTTGTGAGAGTTTCCCGCTGTCAATTTTGATTTTTGACAGACTGACGTCATTGTAGGACGCGTGCGCGCACACGAATTTAATTAAACTTTGCGCGCACATTTCTTTGTTTCGAATCAATTCGTGGATTTTACGAGCGCCACGCACGGAAACCTTTCCGTAGTCTTTTCATCCGCTCATCGCCGCCCCCCATCTCAACCCTTGTGCCAAAGTATATCTCGAAAAACAATTTAATAAAAACTTTTTCCCTCATATATACGTTTGCGCGCCAACCTCACGCAACCGAATCCGATTTGAAATCAGAATCTTTTTCCCGGGGGCGGCTGTGGAGGCAGTGTTATCATCATCACCGCCATCCGCCACCACTCCGAAAGGGTGTTATTATCCTGTCCGCATCCGCTCAAAAATAGAACAAAAGAACAAAGAGATGTCGATCGCAATGTGTTTCTACTTTTGCCGCCCCCCGAAAAACCCACCCTCTAAAAAACACTACCCTTTAAGTTTAAATGTAGGCTGGTATCATTGAGTATAATCACGGAATGTTTTGGGTTGAAAATATTTGCTACTTTTATATGGGGACATTTTTATACAGGGTGTGTACTTAATTTTTTTAAATTTTAGTTTTTTGTAGGTTGATATCGTTGAGAATTATCACAGAATGTTTTACGGTGAAAATATTTGCTAATTTTACATGGGGACATTTTTATACAAGGTGTTTAATTTTTTAACTCTTGTTTTAACCGTGTAGGAAATTGATTTCATTAGTGTTCTATTGTGTGTGCGAAGGCGCTGGCTGGCTGATTAATTGCGAACGCGTTTCCTCGTTTCGCCGCCCCCGCTTTTGAGTGCCGTAGAGGCAGCATTGTGCTTGCGATTATAATTCGACATAATCATTATTTCCTCTCTCGGCGGGCCGTTCGTTGACTTCGACTTCCTTTAATGATATTCACGTTCACATCTGCCTCCGCCTTCAATCTCAGAAGGAAGCCTGCCTGCCGCCGCTGCCGCCTCCGGCGGAATAGTTAACGAGACAGGACGCCAGCCGTCGCTTTTGTGCCATAGTTGCTCGCCTAACGCTATCATTTACTATGTGGATAAATGTAAAAACATTTTACAACAATTTATACAGGGTGTTGAGGCCGTAATTAAATTATGATAGTCCATTAGACAAAACATGCTTTTGATGGTTTTTGGAAATTTAAAAGTTGTTCAACTTTGATGGCTCTCGCGTTTTGACGCTGCCGCCCCCGAGGTCATTCCGTTATCAAATTGCATCGTAAAAGCGCTAATTGGATATGGCGCTTTTAATTAGTTTTGAAACTATTTTGCGTTTCGCGCGGCAGCACCTTTTCGGCGTTTACTTGCCGCCTCCCGTCGGAATTTTCATTTCCAATTTTCATTTGCGAAACTCGGCTAATGAAGGCAAGATTACACCCGAAGATTATTAATTATTATTCGCACCATTCAATTTTCATTATGGGGGCGGCATAGTTAGACAACTATTATTGATAGTTTGACTAACATCGAATTGTCGAGTGCCGAGTAGAGTACTGATTGCTATTGATTATCATAGTGTTAGTGCCAGAGATACTTGCCGCCTCCAGCCGCCTCCGATGGTAATACCAATCTGCAAACAACTTTGACTATTCGCAATCAACTTAAGAGACACTTAATTCCAACTCTAGAGTTTGATAACTTTTTTATTTGAGTTTTAACAAACACTCTGTATGTAATATGGTGGCGGCGATAATTCTCCAGCGACAATTGTTAACTCGTCTGAGTTTGTTGGCGGCCAGATTTACGGGTGGGAAATTATAGTGGTAACAAGTGGTAAAAACCGCTGCCGCCGCAAAGTAAGGGTTGGACTAGGCTCGGAGGCGGCACAAACTATGTGGCAGATAACCGGAAGACGGAAACTTTTCCAGCCGCGCGCGCGCTGCTTCATCTGAATAAAAAGCGAATTTATATTCACCTGTGGCGCAAACACGGCCCAACCACCACTGCCGCCCCCCACAATCTCAACCTTTGCTGTTTAATGCCAAGACGTTCGGCGGCGGCGGCGGTGAGTGCTTTCGGTCGTAAAGGAATCGTGAGAGGTGAATCGAAATGTAAAAACAAAAAAATCTAAATCACAGATTATACAATGTGTTCGGTAATTTTCTATTTTTTATTGAAAGCAGACAAGTTTATTAAGGGGCGGCCGAAACTTGCCACTCTGAAACTTTGCGGGGTGTACTTACTTAAGTGGTTGCAAATTAAAAATAATACTATAATGCGTCTACACAACTTTTTGGCCGCCTTGGGGGGCGGTTGTGGTGGCTGTGGCGGCGGCTACAAAGTAATGACAAACTTTCTCTGGCCCCAAGAAAGCAGCCTACTTTACTTTTAGCCTCTTACAAGTTTTCCGCCCCGCGAAACCTTAATTAGACGTGTAGTGATACACGCATACAGTGTGTCCGAAGTTGGAGGTGGCAGCGGCAGTGGTTTGTTTTCGATCAATATCAGTGTAGGTGCAACAGATTAACAGCCGGCCAACAAAGTGCTTAATTTATAGCGCACGCGAGCGCTATTATGTTTTTTCCATTTCGGCGGGAGCGGCTGTTACGGAAATTGTTTGTTTAGCATGGAAATCGCCGCCGCCCCCGTAACATACGCGTTTTATTTCCGCGTAATCAAATCGTAGAAATACCGGTGATAATAAGCGATAGCGTAATGGGACAAGTCGTTAGGACGTTTGATATGTTAATAGCTGCCGCCCCCGACTTACACACACAACCCCCAACGTCATTTAGAGGATGTAAAATACATAACCAAAACAAACAAACACTTATTTAATCGTAAAATTTAATTAGTTTCTAGAAATTAATAATTATACAGGGTGTTTATATGAAAATTTAAATTTTTAGTATTTTTTTGTGAGTAAGGCAATCAATAGTCCAGTGTAGTCCGGTGCTAGTATGCTTGATTATCTTTTGGCTTAAGTTTTAGCGCTGGCGAGTATTGAGGGTGGTCGGGGGCGGTTGGAAGCCGCCAGAGGTGACGATAAGAGGCTGTGCAGACGTCC